AAATACACTTATTCTAATAAAAATGGACGTACTTAGATATCAGTTTTTATTGAGAGGGCACCCTGTCCTGCTAGTAATGACCTCAGCCTCTTTTCTTTTTGTCGTTTTTGCTGCTTTGTGAACCTTTAAAGACTACATTCCTCCGCTTTATGAAAAGACACAAAAAAATATAAAAGATAATAATTCCTTAAAATTCATGGATTTTATCTTAATATAATTAGGGAAACTATCAAATAGGGATTCTTTGCACTTAGAATAGGATGATTAAACAGTTTAAATTAGAAACGAAAACATTAAATTGTTTATTTTATCTTATTTCTAACATAAATCATCTTATTTCCTTTCAAGGTATCTTATCTACTTATAATATGGAAAAAACATTAGAATTGAGAAGCTTCCTGGAGGGGAAGCGAAATGTCTTCAAACCTTGGAAACCAAGTCCAGTGGATTGTTTTTTAAACTTTTACGGAATGGAAAAAACAATTACTTTAGGAAAAAATAGACCAAATAATATTTTTTATCCATTTATTTTTTTTTGCAGCTGAGGACTGCACAAACTGCCTCAAATGGGCCAAATTTGGCTCTCAGGCCTTGAATTTGACACACATGCCCTAGAGGTTGCACAATTTCCTAACCTAATCTTGTAGGCTGGAGAATGAGAGCATTAATTAGAAAGCAACAACTCTGAAAATGCAGCTAAAACCCACAGCTCAGGTAGAAATATCCATCCATAGGACATCTATCAGTCATTCGCCCTATCAATCTGGTCTCTAACGGGTTAGTTCTGCTATATGGTGGTTGGTGGGAATATGGAACATCTGGTTGTACACATTAGTCAGAGATGCACTGGGATCAAAGTGTATTCAAAATGACCTAGTCAAAGTCCAGACCTAAATCCAATTGAGAATGTTACAGACATGGGCGGTTCTAGACAGGGGCCAATGGGGGCCAGTGCCCCTGTAGGTCATAATACTCAAAAAAATTCTAATGACGATCTGCGCTGGAACAGACATGGTTACTGATAGCTCCTTTGGATCTATTTCATTTTTTTTTCTTTACAAATTCTGTTTTACTAATTATTTAAATACGATAATGTGATAGCTTCAGTGGTATTGAGATAGGAGCCCAGTTTCAATCTGCTTAATGTTTTTTTCAAGGAAAATTAAAAAAAAAAACAACAACAAATTTTTACAGCTTTTCATGTTTTTCATGAGTTCCAATTCAGATTTTATAGAAAACGGTTATTTTGACTTAACTTACGTCAAAAATATGTAAAATTCCTAAATTCTGAATGCATATAAACCTAATAAGACATAGAATTTTAATTAAACCTAATTAAATAGAAATTACACTTCATGCAGCTCTTTAATATATTTAAATCCCTTGCCCTGTTTTTTTATTTCATGCTTTTCTGTTCCCCCATGAAAACAAATTGCCCCCCTCCTGGCCCCCCTGGTACATTTGGTCTAGAACCGCCACTGGTTACAGACATGAAGAAAAGTTCTTAAAATGCTTTAAAAACCAAACTCCCTCTAATTGGGTCTGCTGCAGAGTGAAATAGACAAATGTTTGAATCTCTAATTGTGCAAAGTTGGACCTGCAGGAAAAAAAATGTGTTGATTATTAATTAGAAGCCCATTTAAAAAGGTTAAGTTTTCCTTATTAATCATGTCTGATCCTATTGGGTTAAGTCTACAGAGGGATTAAGTCCAGAGGCCACTGTCTCTGGCCCTCATTATACGTGTGAAACGCGTATAATCAGACAGTCCAGAGCAATAGGTGAAGCAGGGCTTCTGTCCGTGCACAGGTCTGGCGCTTTTTCTCCTTCGCTCAGACTGATGGTTGATTATTGCAGGAGCACATAGGTACATGCCATCCAGACCGGCTCTGCAGCTGTGGGAACATGCACAAAAATGAGACGCATTTGGGGCTATTAAGGTGCAAAGTGAGCGCTTCATTTCCTCAAATATTTGATGTTAAGATCATGCGAGATGCGAACAAGCCAGGAAGTCGGTGACAATGTGAATAATGGGGAATCTGGCCACCGACACAAGTTCAATATTGACCTTTTGGAGGATGAAGCTTGTTTCCCTGGGAGACGCAAAGAGATGCGCAAAACGCAGCCGGCAGAGTCCGACGCAACATGCGCAAACAGACGACCAAAAGAGGGAGGGGGGGTTCATGATTCACAAATGGAAGGGAATGAGCTATAAATTGGACCGCTTTTCAATGCAAATGCTTGGATGTTAATTAACACCCGCCTTGTTGATTGAAGGAGCTGGTTTGGGCCTTTGATTGAAAAGAAATGGCACCTCTGAGCATCAGATGGAGCTTTGAACTTATCTTTGATTGGCAATGGTGGAAGGAAGAAAGACTGAGAAATATCACACAAAAGGCATCTTAATTTCCCGAATTAGGGGCTGTAATGTGAGGGCCAGGCAGTTTGGATGGAGCAGCCACTTTACTAGCTTTTGGCTGGACTGGACCACAGATCTGCAGTAAATTTACATGTCTGCTCCAATCATGCTGACATCAGACAACTGCAAGGATCAAGGCTGTATATTCAGATCAAATGATTCGGATTTTAAACCAGCAATTAAATCACACAAATAAAACCAACTGTAATTAGTAAAAAAAAAAAAAGGCGTTAAATAACTGCTAAATGAGAAATAAGACTGAAATAAATGTATAGATTTGGATGTATATATATATATATATATATATATATATATATATATATATATATATATATATATATATATATATATATATATATATATATATATATATATAAGATGTATATATATATGTATTTATTATACATAATTATATATATATATATATATATATATATATATATATATATATATATATATATATTTTTTTTTTTTTTTTTTTTTTTTTTTTTTAGAGTTCTAAAGGTAATATTGAAAGGTATTAAAAGGTAAAGCTGCTGTGAAAGTATAATATATGAATGTTGAATTAAAGTGAGCCAAGGGACAAAGCTTGAGGAACCCCACAGTAAAACAAGTCTACTTTTATCTAATGATTTTTAAAAGTATTTTACAGGGTCATATCATTTAAGAAAGATTTTATTTTTTTCTAAGATATGTTTGTGTCCAGCTTGGTAAGCTAAGATGCCAGAGCTAAATTCAAGCCTCTCAGCAAGCCAAGCTTCACAGACCGGAGGTCGCCGTCTCAGAAGGTCAGAACACGTTGAATCAAAGCAAATCCATTACACCTGACTGAGGGCCCTAATGAAACAAGGAAATCAAACCTTTACTGAGCAGGGTTTTTTATTTATTTATTTTTATCATACTGAGCATGCAGATTTATAAGGTTATGAAATATGGTTCTGTATTGAAAAACTATAAATGCATGCAATTTATCATAGTTCTTTAAACATTTTATGGAAAGCTCTATTCCTGCAACAGGGGTTCAATGACATCCCCAGCTTCCCTCACTATCTTGTGCAGGGCCTCCCTTATTGGAAATATTGCAGCCCATGGGGGTCATTGCATCACCACACTCTAAACTACAGTTCTAATGAGTTTTGTAAGGGTAGGAAAGCAATAAGCGTCTCTCTCCTGCATGTTCTCACCTGGTACTCTGGGTTCCTTCAACAGTATAAAACAATGACTGTTAGCTACAGGACTATTTTGGTAAACTAAAAGTGTTCGTAGTGAGCATTACCAACGTGTTTTCTTGCAGCAAATGTTTGATTTCTGTTGCAAAAACGTTTAACAAATCACATGCAGGAGGGGAATATCCCATCTATGCCTGCATCTGCAAACTCTCAAATGTGCAAAAGAAGCAAATGCAAGATGCAGAAAATCCAGAGATAATATTTTTTGCCTATACAGGTCAGGTCTGTCCACGTGCTTTTTTTTAATGGAGTCATCTCATAGTGCCTGTGTTTTCTTGGTAGCCTACCCCACAGCAGCCGTGTGGAGTGCTGCCAGTTTCATTGCAACTAATTAATAATTTGTCTTGTTGGAAAGCTGCTGGTCGCTGAGAGCAGGTCTGGCAGTCATCTGTCATTTGCTCTTCCTGTGTGCCCCTTCAGTCTGTCTGACATCTCTGAGCAAACGCGGCCCAATACACAACCAGAAGCCCAGGGCCCTTGTGAGCAGCCAGCGAGAGCACACCGCTTCTAATGTTTGTGTGACAAAAAAGGCAAGGCAAATCCTCGCAATGGAATCAGATAATCACCCGCCTGTGAAGAGCCTGCCCCAATCCACATCCACCCAAAGTTGGAGAGCGAGAGGGAGGGGGGTGCTGGATTAACTGTCTGTTTGGCTAATAATTTTAATCTGCTGGACTGCTACAGGAACTGGCCATCAGAGAATGGAATAAACATCCAATTCTTCGCACCATTTCGATTATAGCAGCTCTCTCCATACAGAGAACCCAACCCACCCAACTCCTCTGTTACGCACTCATCATACGCAGGATTCTCAGCTGGACAAGACAGAAGCAAGAGCCAGCTGAGGGCGGCAAACTCTTGCCAGACTGTCCCAGCCTGACCTCGTGCGGTGGAATGTACACGTGGAGAGTGTGGGCTGTGTGTAGACAAGGAGGAGAGGGCGCTTCAGGTTCACAGGGTCAAGAGATATCTGTCTGGGGCACATGTGGAGCAGGAAGGAACACACAACTTGAAGGAGAGTGGGCTAATTCTGGAGAAATTCAAGTTGCAACAAAAAAAAAGGACCTTTTAGATTATTTATTTCTCATAAAACTTGCATATATAGCCAAATGCATATGTATACTAAACAGCTGCTTTGGCTTCCAACAAAATAATGTATTATATGGTTAATAATTATGAAATGCACCCCATCAACAAGTAACACTGAACCAAAAAAGAACATTTCATCCAAATGCTGAAAAATTATCATCTAAAAATGATCATCTAGGGAGGGATTAGCATTTGTATTCACCTTTGATCTGATACCCTTAAATAAAAGCTGGAGTAACAACTTGCCTTGAGAAGATTAGTAAATTAGGCTGATGATTATATGTCTAGTCAGAGTGTAAAGGCCTTTTATGAGGAGAATATGTTCCCTATTAGCTGCAGGATCTGTGCTGATTGAATTCAGCTCCATTGGTCTTAATTGAATATCTGTCCAGGGGCCACATTCTGCCATGAAAAGCTTTTGTTTATTTAAAATTGTCACCCAAATTGTGTGTTTTTGCATTCAAGGGCTAACTAAGAAGGCTATACCTCGATCCTAGAAGGTCTTCATCTTCTGCAATCCAATAAAATGCATTAAAGTCAAAGTTTGGTTTCCAGAAATCTGTCAAATTTTGGCCAAATGGAGATAAAACTGCAGATCAAACATATTCTACTGTAGTTCTGGCGAATACACGCCTCTAGATGACATTGGAGTCTAATGGTGGCTGTTTGAAGTATGGCCACTTAGATATGCTGTTTAGGATGGGGCTGTATTGCCGCACCTTTGTTCTGATAAGAGGTCCCAGCCCCCAATGACAAAGTGCGAACGATGGGGAGGGCCGCGGCGATATAAGGGGCCGGTGAAGTGTCACGGACCTTCAGAGCTTCTCTTAATGATTTGAGCTTCTGTCCTGCTATCTTCAATCTGATTTTTTTTTCCCTCATGGATTTCCTCCGCGCTTATTTCGTCCTGTGCGCCGCTTTCCTTGCTCTCATCGAGGCTTTTACGCACGAGGATATAAAGGACGCGCTGCTGCAAAAACTCGGTTTGGATGAAGTTCCTAGAATCCAAAAGAGGGATCTGGAGAACCTGCTGGTTCCTGCGCACATTAAGAACAAATACCTGTCCATGCTGAAGATGCACCACAGCCGGAGACGTAGATCTCTGCCCAGCCTGGCGGGGATCCTGAGGGGGGTTCCTGGCAATGCAGGTAAACATGATGATAGAAAAATACTTTGAAACATCCTAAAATGCCACGCATCATCTGTGATTCCTGTGCGTAATTGCGCACAAACGCTCCTTTTTGACGCACCCAGCTGAAACTAAAACACCCGTTTATTTTGTTTGTTGCTTTAGATATTTCTGGAGAGTACGTCTACTCCGACACCACCCGGCACCGCATGGTGTTTGACATGGAAGCGCGGATCCCGGATAACAGCGAGGTGACCATGGCCGAGCTGAAGCTTTACCAGCGCGCATCGCACCACAAACGTTACACTGTGGAGAAAAAGAACCACCGACCCGTCAACAACGCCCGGGTCAGCATCTACTGGGTGGAGGTGCTGCCGGATGGCTCCAACAGGACCTCACTTGTGGATTCACGGTAAGAAAAAAACGCGCACCTTTGCCCCACGCTGCATTAAAGGGGCGTCATGCGTATGGTTGTAATTGATCGTCCTTATCGTGTTTTCACAGGTTGATCCCAATTCATGAGACCGGCTGGAAGAGCTTTGATGTCACCCAGGCGGTGCACTATTGGTCCAAGACGCAGCAGAAGACACCCATGCACCTGGAGGTGTGGATCGAGGGCGAGAGACCTGGCAGCTACGCGGCAGAGATGGCCAGGAGTGTGCGCTTTACCACCCAGGAGCAGACGGATAACACCTTGGGGAAGCCTGAGCTCATCCTTTACACACTCAACCTCGAGGAGTACGGGTGAGGATTAAAATTGATCTCACATTGGTGAAATTTATCTCTGCATTTAACCCATCCCCTTGGGGGATTTACTGCACTGCAAAAACTACCTAGAAATAACTCAAAATGTCTTAAATGAGGTGTATTTACCTTTAATTTGAGTAGGTAAATAAGATAAATTGCCAATTGGTATCTTAAAATAAGGTAATTAGATGATATACACTTGAAATAAGACAATTAAATAGTTTTTTTTCTTATTTTAAATGTAAATTGTCTTGTTCTATTGGCAAAGTTTCTCACTGACCTCCTCAATTCAAGAAAAAATGACTCTAGATTTAGATTTTTTAGATCTGCATATCTGTGAGAATCAGACCACACAGCAACAAAAATTAAATCTCAATAAGAGATTTTTTTCTTATAATAAGTACATTTTTTTAATTGAGAAGGCAAGTAAGATTAACTAAAATACATTTTAATTGTCTTATTTCAAGTTAATAATATCTAATTATCTTATTTTGGCAAATAATTTTATTTACCTCCTCAAATTAAGGGTAAATACACTTAATTTAAGGAGTTTTTACTTATTTCTGGATAGTTTTTGCAGTGCAGGCTTTCTTTTTATTTTCTTTAGAAAGTTCTGTTTGGAGACTAAATATAATCAGTATTGCAAGATTTATAAAAGCTTTATTAATTTTCTTTTTTTTAGTTTTAATTTAAAAATGTGAAATTAAAAAAATAACAGGGAAAAAGGGGGAAACTGTGATTAATAATTAAGCCCCCAACTTTAAAGAAAAAAATAGAATTTCTGTTGGAAGCAGAGGTGTAGCTAAAAAATGTAGGGCCCGGACTCTTTTGCAAACCCCCCCCCCACATTTCATGCAGCATCAGTCAGCTAACCTTCCTCTCTGTTTCTCTTCCAGCTCTGCAGGCGACTGCGATGCAAACCAGAACAAAGACACCTGCTGCAGAGAGGAGTACTTCATCAACTTCCGCGCGCTCACCTGGACGCAGTACTGGATCATCGAGCCGGCCGGTTACCAGGCCTTCAGGTGCACCGGAAGCTGCAAGCAACCCAAACGCAACTACGGCTACGGAGAGCGGAGGTGCGTGGTGGCGGAGAGTTCCCCGCTGCCCATCATGTACCTGGTGAAAAAGGGGGACTACACTGAGATAGAGGTAGCTGAGTTCCCCAACATGATTGTGGAGCGATGCGGCTGCATGCTGGACAACGCCTCTGTGGTATGAAGGCCGTAGTCGTCCTGTTGGGAAATAACGCAGGGCGAATATAGTTCCTTTTGTTAGCTGTTACCATATTTAATGGTTTTTTTTTTTTTACCAACTCGTCAAGTACTTTTTATTTAAATGGACATTCAGAGGGAACGGTTCAGGCGGTACGATAAATTCAATCTCCCTCCACAAGCACTTTTAGAGATTTTGTAAATTTTAAGGTTGTTTCTTTTAAATATGAATTTGTATGAATTGTGTTAAATCTAGTGCAACCATTCAGATTCAGAGTGATTTTTTTAAAGAAAAAAAAGGCTGTATATATAATATGAATGAGTTTATGTTTGTAAAATAAAATATTGGTTTCTCACTTTGCTCCTGGTGTCCCAGTTGGTCTCAATTCACATTCATGATTGGATTCGGATGCAGCTGCCTGCGTCTTTCACCTGCTGATTTGCACTTGCAGAAAGCAAATAACCGCCCTAATGATGCGGAGCGCTGGTACACAGCCTTGGCTTGTAATGCTTTGTTTGCAGAGGGAAGCAGACCCCAGCAGCGCATACAGTGAAACTGAAAGTCAATTTCCATGATGCTGGGCTCCTTATGCATGTTTCTTTCAGCTTAGACCGGGACAAACGTTGGTCATCACAGCCAATCCCTAATGTACAGTTTACTCTCAGAGTGGGGGGTCTTGTCATTCGCTAATCTGCTGCTGAGGAGGGTCAACATGGATAGACCCCCCCTGAAAGCACAATGATCTCCTAACTCACTTTGTCAGTTTGGCTTCACACATTTAGAAACTGAGTGTCAGTTTTCCAGTCTTTCCAAAGATTAATAATCAGATTTTTGGTCTGGATTACAAGCACATGAATGTAACAGATATATACATCTAACAATAGATCTATATGCTGCAGCTCTGGTTGTCTGAAGGCTCTTATCCTACTTCAAGCTGCCAGATTTAACTCTTTCACAGCCTCTGGCAGGTATGCTCTTTTCATTTTATATTCAACAAATTACATTTCAAATGCAATACATGATAAGCATCTAAAAATTATCATCTAGGTAGGGATTAGCATTTGCATTCAATTTTAATCTCATACATCTAAATAAAAGCCAGAGTAACCATTTGCCTGCAGAAGGTTAGTAAATAAGGTAGATGATTATATGTCTAGTCAGAGTGTAAAGACATTTTATGTTTGCTATTAGCTGTAGGATCTGTGCTGATTGAATTCAGCTGCAAGGGTCTTAATTGAATATCTGTCCAGTGGCCACATTCTGCCACGAAAAGCTTTTGTTTATTTAAAATTTGACCCCCAATTGTGTGTTTTTGCTTCCAAGAGCTAACTAAAAAGGCTATACCTCGATCCCAGGAGGTCTTCATCTTCTGCAATCCAACAAAATGCATTTAAACATTTTTAAAGTCTGGTTTCCAGGAATCTGGAGGTGGAGCTGCAGATCAGACATGTTTTACTGTAGCTCTGCGGAATACACGCCTCTAAATGGCATTGGAGTCTAATGGTTTTCCAGTCCTTCCATAGATTAAGTATGGATTATCGACACATGACTATAACAGATGTATATTCTTCTAATATTAGATCTATATGCTGTAGCTCTGGTTGTTTGAATGCTCTTTATCCTTGTGGAAGTTGAGCTTCGGCTCCAGATTTAACTCTTTCACACCTTCCAGCAGGTTTGCTTAATTGATTTCACATTTAATGAATTGCATTTGAAATGCAATACATGATACGGCCGCTGCCGTGTTTTGTTGTATGTTAGGTTTTCATTCAATGCATGCTCAATGTGTCCCCTCCACTGTTTGGAAGAAGCTTAAGAATTTTATGATATTGTTTCATAAAATTTACCCTGCTTTATACTTCACATCATTCCTCCTTAACTTTTCCTCATGATGTTAATTCATAGATGTTCTGGAACAAACCTGAGACCTTCATAGAAGACCTGGGTTTTTAATTATTTAATGACACACAGGAGATATTATTTGGTTTATTAAGGTATTTTTAAATAAGTTTGCTGCACAGATCTTTATGTTAAGATGTCAGTATGTTTATTCAGATGTTTTTTTAGGGTCATTTATTCCATAATGAGCCATTATTAACGTGAGCATGATCCATTTATAGTTGATGACCTGCAGATCTTAAACTAGAATAAATATTTCTATTTTTCACTGTAGAGGTTATCACCATCTGCAGTTTATTATAGTTCAGTTTATTTTAATGCAACCAGCATTTCAGACTAACTCTATATAGAAGTACATAATTATAAACAGTACAAAAATAGGAAGAAAGAAATCATATTATAACATTTATATTTAGAGCGTGTCTCCATGTTGCCCTGTGATGGACTGGCGGCCTGTCCAGGGTGGACGGAAACGGATGGAGATAGACACCAGCACCCCTTGCAACTCCGATTGGGATAAGCGTGACGGAAAATGGATGGATTATTAGAGCAGACCTGTAGTTCTTCCTTCTTTTTGTCCCAGGAAGCTTTAACTTTAAACCCCACACTGTGATCTTATAGGAAATAACAGCACTAAAGCTTGCTTTGTTACATATCTCAAATATGAGACTTCAAATCTCATGTTTATTGATTTTATTACTTTATTTAAATACTAAACACCAAGGAATCTATAAAAAAGGCTCAAATTCTCTCTATAAATACAGCCTGTGCAGATCCTTAACAGACTATCAGTTATCACATTAAACACCAGCTTATTGTCAAATATTGTACTCAAATAACTAAAAAATATTCTGTTTTGGGATGTAGATTGTGTTTTATGGAAAGTCACTGGTTATATCCTTTGATTTTCAAACATTTAATTTTCTTCAAAACACTGCTTAGAAAGGTTATTGAACACAGGATCAACAATTACTGTTTCATCAGGAAATTTAAGAACACATTGGTACATTAGCAGCCCAAGATCCAGGCTGCTTATAAAATGTTTTTGTTAAAGGCAGAAGAAAAATCTACAAAAGTGAATGAGTCTTTGAATTTTGCAGATGTTTATATATCAGATCTGGACGAAACTTAATCCAATTTATTCACATTTGTTGTGAAATCAGTTCAGACGGCATAAAAGGAGATTTTAAAAAGACAAATGTCAAAAAGCAACAGAAACCGCTCATAAACGCTCTTCACAGGTAGGCTGGTTGAACCAAGTCAGTTTATTCTGTTAACTTTTTCCATAAAAGTTAAAAATAAAAACACAACTTAAGACTAAAAATACAACCTAGATGTAAAAACGAACACATCTGAAAAGATCCCAAAGTGTAGGTTAAACGTTAAGACCTGATTTAACACCAGCAATAAAAACAGTTTGTGTTCGACAGCACGCCGTCGCATTCTGCTCCATGTTTGTACCCTCGGTGCAAACCTCCCCAGACATTCAGCCATCAGTCGACAATGTTCAGTTTGTGTATTACAGTGTTTAACATTCATGCACGACCAAATAAACAGCAGAGGAAATAAAAACAGCCGTGATAGGCAGGCGTCCTGGACAGAATTCCCTAACTGTACCTGGATGAAGTAGAGGAAGATACTTCGGGAGTAAGGAGGCGGTATGAGCTGCCCTTACTGCCGGGCCACAATCACCAACATGACCCTCCAGAATCTAAGCCTGCTTCTACAGAAGTCGGACTAAATGCTCCTGAACGGTCAGCGATGCCATGTAGCCCTTTAGATTTGCTGGTGAATCTGAGAACGTATTTTTTTTGTTCAGAGGAAATTAGGATTAATTGTGCTTCAGCGCTCACTATTTCTAAAGACTACTGCAGTTAAGGAGCAGCTGATAGAAATTAAAATAAAGACCCTGAGAATGGAGTGGATTAAGTGAACAAAAAAAATAAAAGGTTATTTAATGGATTAACAAATGGCTTTACTTTATCCTGAAACATCCAAGCTGAATTATTTTCTGGAAACTATTTACAAATCATTTCTCTAAAGGAGGAGTTGAAGTGCTGTGGCATCGGTTTGTTTCAAAGGTTGTTTACACACCTTTGAATTAAATGAAAGCCATAAGTCAGGATGAATGTATAAAACAAAAGCAAACAAGTCGTTTTATTGTAGGTCTATTTTCTTACAAGTATGATGGTGGGAACAAAAACAAAAGAAAAAAATCATTTCTGTCGTCTCTTTTGAACTGTTTAACATTAGAGCATTGACATGTACAGTCTGATATAATCTGTCCTGCTTTCTTTAAAAAAGGTTCATTTCAATCACTTTTTAAATGTATGACAAACTACACAAAGAAAAAAAATGTATTTACAATTTGTAATAAAAAAAAGCAAATCAAAAATCACAGCACAGATAAAATGCACAACCCTGAACAGGAAAGAAATAAAAAAGCCTAAATTTCCCCACTTATACGGTTCCTGATTTTACAAACTTTTTTTTTTTTAAAAGCATGTCATTTAAAAAGTGGCTGGGAGAAGAAAAAAAAATCTAAACAGTATCTGAAAGAGACTGAACCCACAATGTAAATAGACGGACTCTATAAAAGCTCTGATTATGTTGGTGTGTCCTGCTCTCCTCGGATGGAATGTTCTCGCTCTGGATGCTTGGGCTCTTGCTTGTAAGTCAGCGGGTTGTTGAAGGTTAAAAGTGGGTTCTAGGGAAGCAAACTCAAACAGCAGGGCGGAGGGATGTTCCGTGGCTAGTGGTGGGTCCTCAGTGTCAGCCACCAGTCCATAAGAACCAAGTGTCTCAGTAATATCCAGGCTGATACTGCTGGCTCCAAGGCTTCTGGTTCCAGAACTACAGACCAGAGAGTTCAGAGTTAAAACTGGAATAAACTACACCAACATGTTAGAAATACCAGGACCTTTTCCTTCATTTCAACAAAGATATGTTAATTTTCGCTAAACTATTCATGTCTTATGAGCTTTTTCCATATTTTCTCACATTAATAGAACAGTAATGAATAATTAAACTGGAAACATTTCTATTGGTTCCTCGGTAAAACCACTTATCTGTGCAGAATTTCCAGCATCCTCATACTAAAACATGGCAGGGGGAGCATTATGCTGTGGGGAAGATTGCCATACCAGTGAGAAGCTCATATTGATAAAAAACTGGAGGCCAAGGTTCAACTTTCAAAAAGTGTCCAGCCAGAGCTACACGCCAAGTGATGTTAGAACGGTCCAGTCAAAGTAAGGAGCTGCAGCTACTGATCAACTGGAGATTAAGGCTGGAGTCGTTTCTAAAACTGGTAGAAACTAACTGATCTGTCACTGAGCAATGAAAGCTTTCAGGATGCTAAATAAGTGACATGTGAAGCAGCTGGAATACTGACCCCTTGCTGCCAGCTCTGGTTGAAGGCTTGGGCCTTGTCCATGCCGTTCCTGTTGCCAAAGTTGCCGCTGTTCCTGTTGCCAAAGTTGCTGTTTTTCTGGCCAAAGTTTCCACGGCCTCCTCCGCCTCTCTGCTGGAACTGGAGCAAAGGTTCATTTAATTAATTGCAGGCTAACAAAAGGAGCCAAACGACCCACATTCCATCCGTTTCTATTTGCATGTTTTCTAAATAAAAACAAGGTTTTATTGGGCTACTGTATAAAAACTTAAACTCAACGCTTTTTTTAAACATTTTGAATTAAAAAATGTCCACAAACTTGGAAGCAAAATCCAGTGGATTGTTGCTAATTTTATTTTTTTGGAATCTTATGAAGACACCTACGTGGGCAGGAGGTCCCCTGTTGGCGTTGCGGTTCATGTTGCCTCCGCCTCCTCTGTTCATCTGACCCCCTCTGCCCATTTGGCCGCCTCTGTTCATCGGACCGCCTCTGCTCATGGGTCCTCCTCGGGGTCCCATGTTTCCTCTCATCGGTCCACCTCTTGGGGCTCCGGCCAGGCTGGGGAGTGGACCGCCGCCGCCCCGCCTAAACCCGGGCCGAGGGACCCCTCCCCTGAAGATTGGTGGAGGTATACAGCCACGGGGGAAACCGCTGAAGACGCCGCGAGGGCCGGGACCTGTGAGGATCAATGAACCATCGTTAGTTGGAGCCTGAGAGCCGATCGTAGCACATCCCAGTCCCAAACATCTCACCTCCTCTGAAGTTGCCTCTGTTCTGGAAGTTTCCACGACCGCCACCCCTCTGTCCTTGTCCACTGCGTCCAAACTGGTTCTTGCCTCCCCGGCCGCCGCCACGAGCTCCGCCTCCACGAGACCCGCTTTGATTACCGCCTCTCTTAGGGGTGCTGCTGCCTTGGTTGGGCTTCTTCTCAGCAGGCAGGGCCGTCTTGCTCTCCTCCTTGTACTGCTCCAGCAGCTTGGCGGCGTCCTCCTTGGGCAGCTCGGCATACGTGACCTCACTGAAGCTTTCTCCTTCCTCAGGCAGGGCGTAGAAGCCTGGATGGGGCAGCAGATCACCACAGGATTAGGAACTGAAGAGCAGGCGCTAAGGTTGAACATTTTAGGAAGTTTTACCTTTCATTTTGAGCAAAGCGTGCTCCGGAACTTCCTTGCCGTCACTCTCCACCTTCTTCTGGACTCGTTTCTTGTACTCCTCGTCTGAAGGGAAGACCACCACAGCCTTACGCTGGAACCCGGCAAACAAACACATCTTCCTCTTCTGGCCGGGTGCAGACAGGTTAGTCTGAAAAATAAAACAAATCAGTATTTCCTCATCCAGTTTTATGTATCAAACAGGATGGCGTTCCGTAAATGGGAAACTTACATGATCCAGAATGTAGTTCCTCTTCTTGCGAGCGGCGATCTCAATGAATTTTCCCAAGAAAAGTGGAGCTCTTTGGGAAATGGCGCTCAGCTTGGTGATATCCTTGGACTGGCGTTTCAAGCTGTTGATCTACATTCAAACGAGAGTAATCGTTATTCAGATTGAAATCTGGCGCCATCTTTTGCCTGCTACAGAGCGTCTGATGGTACCCACCATCATCTTATCCACAATGGTGTCGCTGCTCAGGATGTAGTATTTCCCAGGGTTCTGCTCAACCTGGTTCTTCACCCAGGTAGTTTTCCCCGAGCCCGGCAAGCCAACCATCACAATGATCTACGAAGGAGGAAACACTGGTTATAGTGAAATCAACAGCAGAATAATGGACAGAAAAACCTCGCTCGTTCACTGACCTCACAGTCAGCCTTAGTCTGGGGGCCCTTCAGGCCTCGCACTCGCTCATCAACAGGGATTTGCTGCAGGAAGGTGTAGCCCTCAGGCTGGGGGAAGTACGGAGTCTCCATCTGGCCAAAGTTAAACTCCACAGCACAGTTGCGACAGATAACATGTGGGAAGAGAGCCTGGCCATTCAGACAGTCTTTAAGGACCCTGAAGGCAACAGCTGGTTCTCCACCATTCTTGGCAAAGGAGATAACGACCTCCTCACCCTCAAAGTCCTACAAAACATAAAACAGGTACAAAAAATGTAATCTAAGCATTAAATTGTACTAGATGCAAATAAAGTTATTTTATTAGTATGCAACAATCTGAGGCAGTAAAATTAACCCTTTAGAAAACTGATCACTTTGTGTGAAATTGCAAGTTAAAAATAATAAAAGTAAAGAGATTAAATAAGTTATTTTAAGGTTCACTTTCAGCAGATAATTGAAACTGCAGCTTTAGCAATACTGCTTCCGTTGGTAGTATATAAATATCAAAATAGAAGTTTTAATCAGTAAATTTATTATACTATAAAAAGTATCAATATATCCCTCACAAGTTTCCTTTGATTCAAATAATGAAAACAGACCTCAATACATAAAAAAAAAATTTCCAATGCCAAGACAGAAATCAGGGTGTATGTATATATATATATATATATATATATATATGCTTAATATCTGCAGGGTTTATTCAGGAATGAGCAACTCTAATTTAATGCTCTTAAAAATAAATGTAATTCCATCAACAAGTACCCATGATTCTCATATGGGAGACTTGGAATACTCTAGCCTTTTCTCCGCCTTGTTTTCAGAACACACTGCTTTATAATTAACTGTAAGATGTTCTGTGCAAACACACGGAACCAGTTGTATCTGATGAAATTGTTTTTATAAATTTTTTTTTTTTAAGAAAGCATTTTAAATGCCACTATAATCACATTTAATTTTAATACAAATTAAGGCCTTAAATTAAAAAACTATAATTTAATGACTTAATGAATCACAGAAACCCCGACCAATTTGGTGAATTTATCTCGTAAATGGCATGAAATAAAATTAGTGCTTATTGAAATATTTCCAATTCCTTCCCAAACACGTCTATAAATGTCATCTTACAATGAGGCAGCAGATGACGTCGTTCTCCTCGTACGTTTCACCAAAGTCTTCTGTCACACAGTTGGTGGTCTTCTTCCCTTTGCAGGAGTATCCGTAAGAGAACTCCTCCTCACCTAAATAGCAGGAGAAAGACGGTTAATTTTACAAAACCCACTAGAGGGCAGCGTTCAGCATTGTAGTGCTTAGCAGCACTGTTCTATAAAAGATAAGCTAGGAGTCAATATTCAATATGATATTATATACATATTCAATATTATTTGAGCTAGAGAAGCAGAAGCAGATGCAGACTCACCCAGAAGCAGAGTACCAGTAGACAGGGACCATCCAACCTGAACATCATTAATCTCTAGGTTCTTGCTGGAGATGTGCTTCACTGAAATCTTCTCTGTCAGCTGGAATCGGATGAGAAAAACGGCTTCAACAAACTGATTTCTACGCCACCTTAACACCTCATGGTTTAAAGTCTTAAAGGGCACAATGAGGAACATATTTGCCCTGATATAGATGTGATATCAGTAACAGACCTTCATCTCAAAGCAGGCCTTCCCCTGGTTTACACCATAGGTCCCCTTTCCTCCAGACCACAGATAAGCAAAGCTCTCCATGATTAGAGATGAAGCGCTGTAACGGTCACGTGACACCTTAAAGTGAAGGTCGCAGTTGTCTAGAATAGACAAAATAAGAAAATTTAGTCCATAAACAGTTAAATTTTATGTTTTGGGCAATGAGGTAAAAAGAAAAACCTACAGGTATCCAGGCAGACTTTCGTCTCATCACACTCTTCATCTTCTTCCTCCAAGGGGGGTACAGGAGACTTAAAAGAGGCGCTGGAAAATAAAACGCCAGCAAGTCCATCAGAAAAGCAACACTTGAATGCAAATGCAGGTATATATATTGATGTGGGAACCACTTGCTGAAGGATAGAAACAAAATGCTGAAAACCGAGAGAGAAAAATATATTCATATTTTGGAAGTGAGCCTGAGATCTTTTTAGATTACCGTCTTTACTGTAGACCTTAGCAGGTACTTACCTTTGAGCGTCCATCCAATACTAAAACATGAAAAATAAAAAGAGGAGACCCGTAACTCGCCCCATTGTGCCAGGCTTGTGGAGAAACTCTGGAGTTTGTGTCCTCAGGACTGCAGTGGAGTCAGCTAGTTTAAATCTAAAGGTCTGCTAGAGGGAGGGGGGTCATGCTCGCTTTTTGCACAGGGGATGTACATCTAAAACCCTGATCACAGTTATGTGACATAATATCATCATCTTAAGCCAATAACTTATTTACAAAAAGGAGTCCCATTTTCAGCACCACTGTTACAGATCCATATAAACTCATTAAAAACATACTATAAGAACCGGTATGTGGCAAAGCACATCTTATCCATCACTGTGGTATGGCTAGGTTCAGTGATGCTATGGGCCTGCTTCACCAGGATAATTAGCAAGAGTACAAGGCCGATTATTTTTAATCTCATCCTGTAGAAAATGTCTCAGCCTTGTAAGAAGGTAGCGAAGACTTAAGGCTCAGCTATCAACCAGATCAGGTTTCATGACGCATTTATCTGCTGTGGTGCTAATAATTAAGGAAACTGAATATATTATTTAAAAATAACATTTAACAGCATGCACTAACAACAAAAGGTAAGATTTTTCAAAGGAATTAACTAGATCATTCTGCTGCAGCAAAGTTCTAAAATGTTGAAAATGGTAGGGGATCGGCCTCAATAAATTGTCCGTCAGGAGGGATTTTTCCTGCAGTTTGATATTTCTGCATCTTTTTGAAACCAGACTGCTAACAGCTCCGGACTGTTTACATTTTGGCTGCTGAGAGTCAAAGTCAAATACTTAAATCTTTGAGGACTAAAGAATTTAAGATATTTGGTTTGTTGGGAGAGGACAAAAGTTTATCCCTATAATATTGAAAAAAGTAAAAAAAAAAAAAAAAAAAAAAAAAAGGTTACAGGAAGGAAATGCTTTTGTTTTCTTATTAAAATCAGCTCACCATAACTTTGTCTCCATCCTCTAAAACTCTCACAAACTACAAAGAATCTCCAAGAATATTTTCCCTTTTTTGCCCGTTGATCCTTGGGTTTATCTGCAGCGCAATGAAAACAAAAACACTGACCAGGAAGTAGGTACATGTACACAAACTCACACACACCCTTACATGCAGACCATGCATGATGTCACCTATGAGAGGGGGAGAAGCCTTGCAAATGCACACATCCAATCACACCATGAGGACTGACACAGGATATGATACAGAGATATCAGTTGAACATCATACAGTCAGTGAAATAAAAACAACAAAAATTAAAATAAATAAAACCACTGCGGGGTAAAACGATGGACGATCAATAGCGAGCTCCTCCGTGGGCGTTCCAAAAAATAAAAAAACTGGGACTAAATCCTTCAGAGCTACGCCCCAGCTGTGGACCCCTCATCCTTTGCCTCTCAGCTAAACCCAAAACCCTGAGTTTTAATTAAGAGTACATCAGCTACTTTCACTGGCAGCTATGAAAGCAGCCTCTTTTTACACTGAGGACACAACGGGCTTTCCTAAAACATAAGTGGCATGAGGAACAGATGTGGAAATTCATAGAAGTTAGAGAGATGCACTTCTGCTACAGAATGCAGTCTAAAAAATACATTTGTGAGTGGGCACTGTAAAACAGTAAATGGTAAGGCTCTTTAAAGCTAGTCAGGGATGACCCTCAAATACATGAAAAGTGTTGTAGATAATATATGATAAAATACTTCAAAATGAGGATTTCTTTCCTCTTGCTAGTGAAGTGCATTGGCAGTTAAAGCCAATACAGGTCAACAAAGCTATGCATGGCGCTTCAGGGATGCCGAAGGCCATATTTGCTCTGTCCCATCCTTACCAGCTGTATTTGTTCTCTTCAATAAATTCAAAGTAGCCCCTTCCATGTTCCTCCCGGCGTCTCTTAACACCCTTCTTATTCTTCTGATCAGCATTCGTGTCTTTGTCCGCATCCCCTTTGAAAATAGAACAAAGATATAGAATGAGGTGCTCCTTTTTGAGACAGAGAGAGGTCGGACTGGCAGTGGGGTGTTGGCCCACAAAGCCCGTTCATTAGTGTACACTGTGTCCACCATAATCATCATTTATAGAGGCAAAGCCTCTGGGTTACACTTAAACAATACAATAAAAATGTCATGACTTGTAACAGTTCTTAAGACCAGGTAGTATTTACAACATAAACTGGCCCAAATGTACAGAAAAAGAAATGTTTTCCTGGGGCTGGAATGGAAAAAGGTTGCTAAAAGTTACAGAACAATAACCCTGCAAGGCAGGGAGCAAACTTACATTGAGGTCTGTGACCTTTAAGAGGGTCTACAGTCATCAGGGATAAATGGATCATGCAAAAAAGCTACCTAGATCTGAGTTACCAGTACTTCAACCTCTACTTTCGGCTATATAACCTAACAAACTCCCAATCGATATCATTTAAGCACATCCTTTTCATACACAGATAAACTGAACTGCTCAGCGTTGCTCCTTCCTTACGCATGGCTTTAGGTTAACAACTTCAGAGATTCCCAGCCTTGTTTGATTATAATGCTGATGTTATATATAATCTGAAAGCTCGCCAGGCTGTAAATTCAGATGAAGCTCGGATTAAGTTGGGTCACCATTTAAAAAGTCCCCTCCATCATGCTGATATTCAAGCAGATAGAGATTCAAATAAAAATAAAATTGCATCTTTGATTTGAAAATCTGCACATGGGTGTTCTTCTCCAAGTGTGCTAGGCTCAGGCGAAGACCAGAGGAGATGGGGTCATCAGTGGAGCGGTTTTGTTGGTAAGCGAACTGGAACGTGTCGGATGTTTGAGAGAGACTGGAGATGATGTGTTCTTTAACCAGCCTTTAAAAGCACTCAATGACTGGAGTCAATGCAGGCCGGTAGTCATTCAGGTAGGTGACCTGAGGCTTCTACCTGATATAGAAGCCGCAATTACACTACCCTCTGAAAACCGATCCATGCCGGGCTTGGTTCCTTACGACCATTTACCCACCACTCCTTTCGTCCTGGTGGCGATCTAAGGTACTACTGCTCCCTAGAGGTAAATGGCGGCGACAGGAAGCTATGTTTTGTCATCATTGTGATATTTCGTTGTTTGCGGAGAGACAAGCAAAGAAGGCAGCCTTTAGTGAGTGGACTTGACGGAGTCGGCTTTTGGGAATTGGGTACCACAAATGATAGTCTAATCAGGGCTAACAGACGCAGGAAACGACAACACGAGTTGAGGCTCATCAACCGAGCCAGAACTGAACTAGTCCTAATGAACTAGTACCAGTTTAGCGCATTTCGGTTGTGTCTGGAATGGTACAGTTCAGTCATGCATGGCATTTACAATCAACAGTTATCGCAGTTATTGTGCTCGGACCAATCTCTGCATTGTTTCAAAAGGGTAGGGTAGTGTAAATGGGGCTGCAGTTCTCATGGGCTCTTTTGTATTAGGCTTGGGGGCATATAAACAGCAGTGATGCTAACCACACTAAACTCTCTGGGCAGATAGAAGGGTCTGCAGTTAACATTCAGAAACTAGATGTCTGTAGAGCAGAAACTGACCACTAATCTTGCATTTTTACACCAGCTGTTAATGTATACATAGAGCCCATCACCTCTATTCTTACCAGTTAGTTCTTTGTTTATATCGTCGCGGAATAGCGCGAGGCCCTCCAAGCTAATATCACTGTCTGGTATCTTTTTTGGAGAATGTTGATTTAGTTGGGGATCATCTATTTTGCTATCCGCTGAGCAGACGTTGGATTGTGGGATTGATGGGTTTGGTGTTCCTTTGAGACTCCTTCTTAGCTTCGCTGATACCCCGGCTCTGCAGCCCCTCTTTCGCTGTCTCGTAAACTTCTTCCTCCGGCTTTCTAGGCCTGGCCTGCTCCTTGAGCTCGCTGTTATGTTTACATCCGTCCGTGGCACTCCGCAGCTTTTTAAAACTGCAATAAAGCCATTACAATCGACAATTGGTTTTCAGGAAAGTATATTTAAAAAAAATAACATTTTCTGTACTTTAATGTTTTGATTAATAAAGCTTAAAAAAAAATTGACTTTTAAACGTTAGGAAAACCAGAAAAAGTGTAAGGGGAAATTAACGATTTTTGAAAGTGTAAAAAAAAAAAAAAAAAAAAAAGGGATCAGAATATCACTTTAGAACAGCAATTTTCGTTCGATAGGGAAAACAAATTAAATTATAACAAAAAGTGTGTAATCACACTTTGTAATCATAATCCAAGCAAATTATCTGCCCTTGTTGCCCAAGCCTGGCATTACTGGTCAAACATAACGGTTGGGAACCTCTGAAATGCTAACAGCTTTAGCTTCCTGTCAAACAAAGGGAATGATGCTAACTAGCACGGTAACCCCGTAACAAAACGAAACAAAAAGCCGAATCAAGAGCCATTTTTTGAAATAACCGTCGTTTACTTCGGTGCCGTTTTCTAAAAAAGTTTCACGTATAACTCTAACCTACTTAAATATATATTAAAATAGCCACATTAAGAGAATACGCGCCATAAAATTAGCTAACCGAAGATGCTAGCTGGCTACGTGTTAGCCTGAGCGCGGCCTAGCATGGATCCCGCTGTGACCCAACATGGACGCTGAGCGGAGAACGCTGTGAAACCTAACCGGCCCCAACCCGTCATTGAGCCAAAAAAACAAACCGGCATCCAACCACGGTCCATCCAAACCAGCCATTTTTTTAAAATCCAAGCAACTTCTCAAACTCACCCTCTGCGGCGTTGTCTCCGCGCTCACCGTCTTCAATTTTTTCCATATCGTCTACATCAGCCTTGAGCATGGGATCCATTTCGTCATCTTCTTCCCCTCCGTCTTCCCCCTCACCCATCTCTTCGTCCTCGGCGTCGCCGTTGCCGTCGCCTTTATTCTCCGCTTCCTCCTGGTTGGCCTCCATGCTCTCCTCTACCGGACCCTCGCCTTCCTCTTCTTCTCCCATGCCCTCTCCCTCTCCTATACACTCTTGTTCCACCGACTGTTCGAACCCATCATCGCCCGAACCTTCCTGAGCCGCCGAGGAGTCTCCGGCGAGGGCCTCTTCATCCAACGCGGCCTGCAGGCGATCCATCAGCTCGGCCTTCAGCCCCTTATCCGACAGATTCCGCTTCTTTAGCTCGTCCTTCAGCTCGTTAACTTTGAGCTTCTTCACGTTAAGGGTGCTCATTTTTATAGATAAACGATACAATTGTTAATTAATAAATAATAGGTCGCCCTTTGTTAATGAACGTAGCTCGTTACCACGCCGAAAGTCAGCGGATATGCAACCGATAGCTCAACAGCAGAGGTCTGTCTGTGCTGAGGCTGCGCTAATAGGGGAAGAGGGGGGTGGAGACTACCGTAACTACATGGAGAGAGGGCAGGCGCTCTTGATACCGTAACTACATGGAGAGAGGCGTAACTTGATGCCCAGCCCGACGGCTTTGGACCAAATTTTCCACACTAAAAAAGACTAGATGTGTGCCTGATGCATCTTGTTTGTCAACATTTCATGTCACAAATGATCTTTACTTAGATTTTTTTCTTATCTTGTAAAGAAATGAAGCAAAACTAATGAAAATAATCCAAATGAGGCCAAATCAAAGTAGCAGTTATTCATAGTAACTGTCATTCAAATATTAAAGAACAGGTTGGATCATTTAGGAAATAGTCTCATCTATGAATGCTCTCTGCACTGGTTACCCCAGGTGATTGTTCATCCCACTTTATATTTTTAAATTAAATCCAACTTGTGAAGCCCCTAACAATTATGATGGAGTTAGAAATCATGGGACTGCATACCCATGAGAAATAATGCCAAAAATGGAGTACATTCAAAGGAATTTTAATGACCTTTAAAGAACAGTAATTGGGGCTATACAGTTGCACCACGTTATATTTTGACACTTTAAATAATTGAAACAAAATAATTAATGTTTTTATTTTTAAGTTCATAGTTAGAGCGTCTATAAAACAGGTACTACTGATATGGCATATTCTTATGCATTTACCTTTTTTTTAAATGTAGGATTAAGTACTAATTGGAACCGGTTTTGTGAGGAAAATGTCACAAGAATCACATCTTTATGACTATTAATTTTAATGAAAAAGTAGAAATAACACATTGTAAGTAATTTAGTGAGCCATGACTGCAAACCCGTATTCTAGCAGACGAAAAAGATAAAAAACAATTCTCCCATACATGCCCTTACAATGGCCCCTATGTTTAAAATTTAGTGCTGCACGCTCTCATTCACCTGGCTGCTTTGTTGAGTCTATACCGCAGCAACAAAATAGACCACTGTTTCTAAGGATGGATCATAAAAAAGATAAAAAAAAAAAAAAGCACAAGTGCATCTCCACCCCCATCACATACTTTCCACAAGAGTAAGAAAAGAAAACTTTTGTCTAGTGAGATGAAAAAGGGCCAAATGGAGTCTGATCTATCTATCTATCTATCTATCTATCTATCTATCTATCTATCTATCTATCTATCTATCTATCTATCTATCTATCTATCTATCTATCTATCTATCTATCTATCTATCTATCTATCTATCTATCTATCTATCTATCTATCTATCTATCTATCTATCTATCTATCTATCTATCTATCTATCTATCTATCTATCTATCTATCTATCTATCTATCTATCTATCTATCTATCTATCTATCTATCTATCTATCTATCTATCTATCTATCTATCTATCTATCTATCTATCTATCTATCTATCTATCTATCTATCTATCTATCTATCTATCTATCTATCTATCTATCTATCTATCTATCTATCTATCTATCTATCTATCTATCTATCTATCTATCTATCTATCTATCTATCTATCTATCTATCTATCTATCTATCTATCTATCTATCTATCTATCTATTAGGGGTGGGTATTGCCAAAGAAGTCACGATTCGATTCGAATCACGATTCACAGGCCACGATGCGATTCTATCACGATGCATCACGATACTTGAATTATTTCGATGCATTGCAATATTTTCTCCTCCATGTTTTGTTTTTGAATGACTCGGCACAGTATCCCATGGCCGGAAATGCTTGTGACACAAGGCAGTGTGCGTCAACACATTTGCAGCGACATCTACTGGACTGGAAGTTGTATTACACTTGTTTTTGGCTGATGTTCGCCAACCATTCATGCAATTTTATATATTCATTTTTTTAAATTAATAATCGATTCTTGGCATCAAGAATCGATGCAGTAGATCACGAAAATTAGAATCACGATGCATCGTCATCACGATTATTTTGCACACCCCTACTATCTATCTATCTATCTATCTATCTATCTATCTATCTATCTATCTATCTATCTATCTATCTATCTATCTATCTATCTATCTATCTATCTATCTATCTATCTATCTATCTATCTATCTATCTATCTATCTATCTATCTATCTATCTATCTATCTATCTATCTATCTATCTATCTATCTATCTATCTATCTATCTATCTATCTATCTATCTATCTATCTATTAGGGGTGGGTATTGCCAAAGAAGTCACGATTCGATTCGAATCACGATTCACAGGCCACGATGCGATTCTATCACGATGCATCACGATACTTGAATTATTTCGATGCATTGCAATATTTTCTCCTCCATGTTTTGTTTTTGAATGACTCGGCACAGTATCCCATGGCCGGAAATGCTTGTGACACAAGGCAGTGTGCGTCAACACATTTGCAGCGACATCTACTGGACTGGAAGTTGTATTACACTTGTTTTTGGCTGATGTTCGCCAACCATTCATGCAATTTTATATATTCATTTTTTTAAATTAATAATCGATTCTTGGCATCAAGAATCGATGCAGTAGATCACGAAAATTAGAATCACGATGCATCGTCATCACGATTATTTTGCACACCCCTACTATCTATCTATCTATCTATCTATCTATCTATCTATCTATCTATCTATCTATCTATCTATCTATCTATCTATCTATCTATCTATCTATCTATCTATCTATCTATCTATCTATCTATCTATCTATCTATCTATCTATCTATCTATCTATCTATCTATCTATCTATCTATCTATCTATCTATCTATCTATCTATCTATCTATCTATCTATCTATCTATCTATCTATCTATCTATCTATCTATCTATCTATCTATCTATCTATCTATCTATCTATCTATCTATCTATCTATCTATCTATCTATCTATCTATCTATCTATCTATCTATTAGGGGTGGGTATTGCCAAAGAAGTCACGATTCGATTCGAATCACGATTCACAGGCCACGATGCGATTCTATCACGATGCATCACGATACTTGAATTATTTCGATGCATTGCAATATTTTCTCCTCCATGTTTTGTTTTTGAATGACTCGGCACAGTATCCCATGGCCGGAAATGCTTGTGACACAAGGCAGTGTGCGTCAACACATTTGCAGCGACATCTACTGGACTGGAAGTTGTATTACACTTGTTTTTGGCTGATGTTCGCCAACCATTCATGCAATTTTATATATTCATTTTTTTAAATTAATAATCGATTCTTGGCATCAAGAATCGATGCAGTAGATCACGAAAATTAGAATCACGATGCATCGTCATCACGATTATTTTGCACACCCCTACTATCTATCTATCTATCTATCTATCTATCTATCTATCTATCTATCTATCTATCTATCTATCTATCTATCTATCTATCTATCTATCTATCTATCTATCTATCTATCTATCTATCTATCTATCTATCTATCTATCTATCTATCTATCTATCTATCTATCTATCTATCTATCTATCTATCTATCTATCTATCTATCTATCTATCTATCTATCTATCTATCTATCTATCTATCTATCTATCTATCTATCTATCTATCTATCTATCTATCTATCTATCTATCTATCTATCTATCTATCTATCTATCTATCTATCTATCTATCTATCTATCTATCTATCTATCTATCTATCTATCTATCTATCTATCTATCTATCTATCTATCTATCTATCTATCTATATATCTATCTATCTATCTATCTATCTATCTATCTATCTATCTATCTATCTATTAGGGGTGGGTATTGCCAAAGAAGTCACGATTCGATTCGAATCACGATTCACAGGCCACGATGCGATTCTATCACGATGCATCACGATACTTGAATTATTTCGATGCATTGCAATATTTTCTCCTCCATGTTTTGTTTTTGAATGACTCGGCACAGTATCCCATGGCCGGAAATGCTTGTGACACAAGGCAGTGTGCGTCAACACATTTGCAGCGACATCTACTGGACTGGAAGTTGTATTACACTTGTTTTTGGCTGATGTTCGCCAACCATTCATGCAATTTTATATATTCATTTTTTTAAATTAATAATCGATTCTTGGCATCAAGAATCGATGCAGTAGATCACGAAAATTAGAATCACGATGCATCGTCATCACGATTATTTTGCACACCCCTACTATCTATCTATCTATCTATCTATCTATCTATCTATCTATCTATCTATCTATCTATCTATCTATCTATCTATCTATCTATCTATCTATCTATCTATCTATCTATCTATCTATCTATCTATCTATCTATCTATCTATCTATCTATCTATCTATCTATCTATCTATCTATCTATCTATCTATCTATCTATCTATCTATCTATCTATCTATCTATCTATCTATCTATCTATCTATCTATCTATTAGGGGTGGGTATTGCCAAAGAAGTCACGATTCGATTCGAATCACGATTCACAGGCCACGATGCGATTCTATCACGATGCATCACGATACTTGAATTATTTCGATGCATTGCAATATTTTCTCCTCCATGTTTTGTTTTTGAATGACTCGGCACAGTATCCCATGGCCGGAAATGCTTGTGACACAAGGCAGTGTGCGTCAACACATTTGCAGCGACATCTACTGGACTGGAAGTTGTATTACACTTGTTTTTGGCTGATGTTCGCCAACCATTCATGCAATTTTATATATTCATTTTTTTAAATTAATAATCGATTCTTGGCATCAAGAATCGATGCAGTAGATCACTAAAATTAGAATCACGATGCATCGTCATCACGATTATTTTGCACACCCCTACTATCTATCTATCTATCTATCTATCTATCTATCTATCTATCTATCTATCTATCTATCTATCTATCTATCTATCTATCTATCTATCTATCTATCTATCTATCTATCTATCTATCTATCTATCTATCTATCTATCTATCTATCTATCTATCTATCTATCTATCTATCTATCTATCTATCTATCTATCTATCTATCTATCTATCTATCTA